TTTCTTGCAAAGCTGGTCTGGAATTGGTGAATTCTTTCAGGTTTTGTTTATATGAGAATATTTTTATCTTTTCTTCCCATATGATGGATAATCTTGCCAGGTATAGTGTTCTTTGTTGAAATTGTTTATCATTTAACACTTTGAATATATTGCCCTATTCTTTCTTTGCTTGCATGGTTTCCAGTGAGAGGTCTAGTGTTAGTGTCATGGGATAACCTTTATAAGTTACTTGACGCTTCTCTCTTGGCAATTTTAGTATCTTGTCTCATTTGTGGTTTTGCTCATTGCCATTCTCCCTTAGGGGAGAGAGATTTTCTTGGTTTCACATATTTCTTTTGCCTCTGGGGTGGTTTCTAGTCATCTGATGGATTATATGTTTCTTCCCTGTGACCTGCACATTTGTTGCTGGGACAGCATGTTCCAAATGCCTTCCAGATTCTAGAGAACAGATGTACCTGGGACTGAGCCACAGGCTCTCAACTGAAGAAGAAAGTATGGAAACTTTATAGTTTGGGAAACTGTAAAGTCTGTGATGAACAGGAGAGAGTGGAGGTTCTGAAGTGGTCTCTAGCCTGTGCAGAAGCCAGGAAGAAAGGTGGTGTAGAAGTAGGGAGCAAGAGGGCACCTGGAGCAGATGACTGGGGTGTGCAGGTCCAAAGCCGTCTCTGGCATTGGTCAGCACACTTGCTTCTGCTGTGTAGGAGCTGGGAACCAATTATATGATTTTTATCTTTCTTTCTATTAATATGGTATATTATGTTTATGGTTTTGCATATGTTGAACCAACCTTGCATCCCTGGAATAAAACCTACCTGGTTGTGATATATAATCTTTTTTTTATGTGTTGTTAGATATGATTTACTAGTATCTTGTTGAGAATTTTTACATCTATATTTATCAGGGATATTGATCTGTAGTTTTCCTTTTTTGTCACGTCCTTGTGTGTTCAAGGGTGAGAGTGATGGAGGCTTCATAGGATGAGTTCTGGAGGGTTCCTTCCTTTCAGATGCCTAGAAATAATTTGAGTAGATGGATGTTAACTCTTCTTTAAATGTTTTCTAGAATCCGGAAGTGAAACCATCACGACCTGGACTTTTCTTTGTTGGGAGGTTATTGTGATTTAATCCCATTGTTTGTTATGGGTCTAATCATGCTTTCTGTATCTTCCTACTTCAATCTTGGTAAATTATAGGTGTCCAGGAATTTGTCCATCTCATCTAGGTTTTCCTTTTTGTTGGCATATAGTCAGTTGCTCATAGTATTCTCTAATGATTTGTATTTCTATTATGTCTGTTGTAATATTTCCTGTTTCGTTATGAATTTGATTTATCTGGTTCCCTTCTCTCTTCCTAATTGGTCTAGCTAATGGTATATCAATTTTATTTATCTTTTCAAGGAACCAGCTTTTGCTTCCCTTTATTTTCTGTATAGTTCATTTATTTTCTATTTTATTTATTTCACCACAGATCTTTATTATTTCTTTTCTCCTGGAATTTTTTGAATTATTTTTGCTCTTTTTCCAGTTCTCTGGGGCATGATGTTAGCTTGTCCATTTGTCACCATTCCATCTTTTTTTTATGTGCACTAATTACTGTGAACTTCCCTATTATGACTGCTTTTGCTGTGTCCCATAGATTATGGAAACTCATATGGTCATTATCATTGGTTTCTATGAGTCATTTGATTTCAGTCTTAATTTCTACAGTAGTTATAAAGCCATTCAGGAGTACATTGTTTAGTTTCCATGTTTGCATACTTTCTAGTGTTTTTCCCCCCAAAAATATGAAGTTTAATTCCATCATGGTCAGAGAAGATGCTGGATATAGTTTCTATGCCTTTGAATCTGTAAAGGCTTGTTTTGTGCCCTGTCATGTGGTCAGTCTTCAAAAAGGTTACATGCAGGGGTGAGAAAAATGTGTGTTTTGTGTAGAAGATTCTATAGATGTCTGTTTAGTCCATTTCAATATGGTGCCATTTAGATCCTGCTTTTCTTTGCTTATTTTTTGTCTAGATGATCCATCCAAATGAGAGAGTGGGGTATTAAGATCCTCAACAATTAGTGTGTTGTAGTCTATCTCTCCTTTTAGATCTAGTAGTCTTCCCTTCATGTATTTGGGTGCTCCTGAGTTGAGTGCATAGATATTTATAAACATTATATCTTCCGAAAAATTTGCCTTTTTGCTCTTATACAATGCCCTTTTTTGTCTCTTACAGTTTTTGTCTTAAAGTCTATTTTGTCTGAACTCAATATTGTGACTCCAGGCTTTTTTTTTTTTTTTTTTTTTTTTTTTAAGTAAATCCCTTCAGTTCCTTGGGTTATT